ACAAGATACCATACCTACACTGTCGATGTGCATTTCACGCCGACCAGCGACTGCAGTGTGTTTGGCGCAATGCATGAAGTATTCCTGCAGTCTTGTAGGCGCTCGTATGAATTTCGCGGCGACCAGCGACTGCACTGTGTTTTGCGCAATGCGTAAAGTATCTCCGAAGTCTTGTAGGCGCTAATATGCGTCCCGCGCCAACGGGCAGTCGCACTCTGCATTAGATTACAAAGTGACCGTAGAATCAGAGGAGAGATATTAAGTTTGAAGAATGACTGGGTAAAATTGATGAATTAATGATTCATGCTAAGTGCAGACAAAAATATTAAACAGAAAGAACGAAGGCTTAATGGAATTTAATAGTGGCTTCTTTACGGTTTACCTTACGGTATACAAGGAGAAGTTGATTTCGGGGTCAGGACAAGCGTCCTCCACATCCCTCCTCCAAGAACAATTATCTCTGCTTGCATTCATTGTGCCCTGGCCTAGAGTCAAGGCTCCGATGACTGCTTGTGCGTTTATACCTGAAAATAGGAAAGTTTAGCTTTTAGAACTTCATTATAAAGCATCTCATCTTTTCATGAGAGTTTGGGGTGGGGGGTGGGTTAGGGTACAGTAAAAATTACTTCGTTTCCCGCAGGACATTTGGTATCCCCAGGGGGCCGTTCAAATATTACGTAAGGAACTTAGGGGGAGGAGGTCCGAGCTTGTCTTACGGAGCCTTGCGAAGGGGGGGGGGGGTCAAGCCGAGTCTTGCGTAAGCTTTCCGCTGTAAAAAAGACTATTTGTTTAAGAAATAAAAAAAAAAACTTTATCGGCGTTGTGCGCTGTGAAACCCTGCGAAAGAAGGCTTGTTGGTGCCGCAAAATTTTTCCACCGTCCCGCCATGCTGGCGCTATGCACCAATAGCGCACGCATTTCAATTATTTGCTCCTTTTTTTGCCGATTTTCATCAAAATACCTAAATTTATTCCAGCTATTTTACCAGGCTTTCTCCGTTTTTTTTTCTGAAAAAATGGTGGGGGGAGGGAGGACCCGGCCAATCTTACGTAATTCAAAAGGGAGGGTCAGAGATTTCTTACGGGTACCTTACAGAGGGGAGGAGGGATAAAAGGTTGACAAAAATGCCTTACGTAATACTTGAACGACCCTTATGGAAAGTAAAGAGCCCAGAAAAAATAAACAGTATCCCATACGATGATAGTACCTACTGCTACCTTTTCATCTAAATTTCCGATTTGAATTTCGCATCGAGGAAAGCGCTGAAAACACAACGGGCAACGCATTTCTGGGATGTCGTTTCGATATTCGAACACAATACGTATCTCATACTGGTATTTTGGCTACTGAGGTAGTAACAAAGTCATTAGAACAGTAGTCACTAGGAAGAATCGGATGGATAATAGCGACTTCGCCGTGCAGAGCTTGCATAATGTCGCAGTGTGAGACTACAGCAGATTTCAATGTCGTTGAAATAACTTAAGCGGCCCTCGCCTAAGATTTAGTGGAAGCTGGAGGGTAGGGTGAATTTCGCTCACTAAGCTGGTATACCTCCTTTCGGTAGACTCTGGATTATTTAATACGGCGCGCCGTATTAAATAATCCACGCCGCGGCGTGGGAATCATAATCAGAAGCGCTCTAAATGAAACAAGCAAAGAGCTGCTGAAAAAAACCTCTACTGAAAATTGTAGAGAAGTAGGGTTTTTAGATGATTATCCTAATTTTAATCAGCATGAGGATGTTGTAGTGCAGAAATGATATGCAGTCTAAAGTCAAATCTACCTGAAGCATTCAACTTTACTCTCCGTGTCTCCCGAAACTACCTCCCAGGCCTGCGTTGGTTGCGCGTTGCGTTTTTGTCGATTTTTCGACAAAAATACGGAGTTTTCATTGAAAAAAGGCAGTTCTTAAGGTCATCGTAAGACTAGAATGCCTGACTAGAATTTATGGGGGAGAGTATTGACATCTCCGAGCTACTCCTTGGTTGGCTCATCAGCTTGAGGCTATCATAGAGCCCCAAAATTGCCTCAATGGAGATGTTGCATGTGTGAGGAATTTGCGGTTTGACCATTGATTCTCGTGTGTAAGTTCGCGAAAAACACGATGGTGCCACTATTTTTCTCTGGAATCAACTCCCAAGCTCAAAAAAAGCTCTCAAGTTGAGGCCAAAAAGGAGGCTTTTTATTTATTGTGTATCTCAGCCTTGTTTCCCGTTTTTCCCCCTTGTTTCTTCACTGTTATCATTGTCTCGGGCTGCTCTTAAAAATGCGTATCTATGATAGCCTAAAACTGATGAACCAATCAGATAGCGGCAGAGAGATGGCAATACTCTCCCGTATGTAGGCATTCTAATCGGGAGACGAGAACTGTGATTCTTTGTAATGAGTCTACTCGGTCAGGAGCTCATCTCATTGGAGGCGATGCAGATGAGCAGCGTCGGTTGAATAACTAATCACCCTGGTCCCCGATTATGCTGGCACCGGGCACCCGTCGCGTCGCGTCGCCCAGACGGGGGCCCTCGCGACGCACGACGCGCGACGCTCCGTTCACGGTCTTATTTTTTCGGTCAAAGCCTCACCGCCGCGCCGTCCACTGTTGCCGTAATATCCTACACATACGTATTTACCAGCAAAAGTACATTGATAATGGTCGCATTTCTTCCAAACAGACCTATGTGGAGGTGAGAAATATGGGGTGTGCTCGTTAGTTCTCTGGCCGTAAGAGTGAATGAGAATAATAAAGTGCCAGTGACGTCAGCGGCAATGATCGAGCGCACGCGCATGGATTCCCGCACTTATTTACACACTCACACAAACGTAGAGCACTAGAGCTGCATCACTCC